AGAAAGTGAGATAAACGGAGATTGGAATGTCATTTCAACCAAAAATAGAGATGAAAAATTACAAACCGTAATGGGATAGTTCCGCATCCGTAAAATTCAGAAGTGAAAAAATCATTGGTAAAACAATTACGACAACTGGTGCTGAAATCTAGCCATATACCGACGTAGCCAAACAACGCACCAAAAAAAAGTCATCTAAATCGGACCAACAAACAAAACAATTTGCATGTAAATTGAAATTTGAATATTCGAAACTCTGATCGAATGCCGAGAGCTGTGTGCTTTGCGACTCCTACATGCAGCGGCTGAGAGAGAGAGAGAGGGAGAGAGAGAGAAAATCGCCGAAAATGAAAGAACGACATTCGAAAAACAAGTCCCAAAATTGTAAATTGAGCCATTCCACCATTGTGACGCGTATGTTTTACATTCGGCCATCATTAAAAGATGCAAAAAAAAATCACTGTACATGACAAGCATGCTACACGAAACGTTTTTTCCTTCTTTTTCTAACCGAAAAATTGATAAAGCGAAATGTGCTCTCAACAGCGTGCAAAAATGGACGACAAACACAAAAACACGGCCAACAAATTCATTAGACAAACAATGCGTTCTGGAAATGATTCTGAAAACTGACGTCATAGCATCGAGCGTACATCGAATCTGCCTGTTATATTCAAATGGTCATTTTTTTCGCTAATGAATAAGTTTGCATGTGGAGAGAGATAGAGGTTCAAAGTGGCTAAACAAACACAAATGAAAATTACGGTTTTTTCCCAAAAAACAACATCGACACACACACACACACACGTTGAAAACACAAACAAACAAAGTGTAGAAGTTTTTTTATTCTGCTTTGGCCCAAAACAATTACCGATACATACTAACGGTGGCTAGCCATGAAATGCGATGTAGGAAGTTGATTGTTATTTTTACAACGGTTAGATAATTAATGAATTGTTTTGCGTGCTTTGTAGTCGGTTTTGGATTGGACAGAAATGTGTTTAAAATGCTGTCCAGAATGGGCGATATTGTGAATGAGTGTGTGTCGTGCAGCGTACTATTTTGATTTATTCAAACGACCGACAAATTTTGTATTCGTCATTTGTTCAAATCAAGCCATTAAATGGCATAACACGCAGTGCGAAATAAAAGAGAATAATAGCAATGAATCCAATTTTTGTTTTCGGTGAGAAAATGTACTTTAATTTGGCGAATAGCACATGGCAGCCACACTGTGATACAAACAATGGGTTATTTAATAAATTGGCTATAATTTTTCGTTTCGTTTATTTGGTATGAAGTTGGCAAAAGTCAATTCCATTTTGTACGTCAGTAGTAGCGTCAATGAATTACAAAGTAAAACACCCGACCGAACAGAAATGTCAAGTCAACTTCCTTTCCACGTGCCATTACATTTCGGGTCGTATCTACTAAATCAAGGAGGATTTAGCTCATTTGATGCAGCATTGAATCGGATTTTGCTCTCGTTTTCACGACTTGGCGCCTCCAAATTAAGAAATGAATGAAGAAACAATGTGTGAAATTCCCATGATTGTTATGACTACGACGGGGCCAAATACTTGAACCGAGAAGAAGTCGAACAGAACCGAAAAGAGCGACGCGCATATATTGAAATCGAAAGTGATGAGAGCCCCCAAGAGAGTGAGTGAATGAAAAACGAAACGATGTTACGCCATTGAAAAAAAGAAAAACCGAATACATTAGATTTTATCTCTCTCTCTCTCTCTCTCTTAACATACATATATACACAAAGCATACATTAAGTAAGTTACCGATCACATTGCGAGAGACGACGACGACGACGACGACGACAGCTCGTACCATCAAGTCGCTTCTATTTCTTTTGATGCCGGCATTTTCATTTTCCATTCGCGCGCGCGATTCTATAATATAACATAACGTTTGCGTCACAATTTCTTCGTGCGCGAACTGATTATGTGTGTATGTGCCCGTGAGTGTGTGTGCGCCACAGAACACACAGTGCACAATACGAAATCAAGTTATGTGTTTAATATCGTAAAGTTGCTTGCTTGTTCGCTGAATGAAATTAAGTGCAACAACGAAAATACAACAATCGTATTTGGTACACGCCGCGCCAGGCGAAAGTCGACCAGCCAGTGTGTGAGTGCAAATGAAGATGTTAATAAGAGAAACGTGTAACATTATTTAAAATGATAACGCAGAACCAAACAAATTGTTACTGACGGCACCGTGTACACACAGAACAGAGCGAAACAAACAAAAAATGAAAAACAACAACAACAACACGACGTCGAGTCTCGAGAGCACGAGAGATCCCGAGATTATAATGTAATAATCAGAGTTTTAGTTCACACAGCGTAAGAGATCTCGCTTGCACTCGTGTCATGTTCAATTTGAGTGCTTTTTCTTTCGAATGCGAAAATCCATTTTTCCAGCGTTGAACAAGCAAAACAATGCAAGAATGAAATTAACTGCATTATTACGAGACCCATACAGCAAAGTACAAGACGAAAAAAGATCGACGCTATAATTAAATATGTCAAAGTATATTTAGCATTGCATTTGCTGTGTACATAATGAACGCACTCAGAATCGAATACCGGCAACAACAACAGAAAAATGAGTAAATATTGCGACTAAATTATTATATTTCAAAGCAAGTAAGTCTCCGGATGATAATGGGCTCTTAAAACTCATTAAAAATCTATGATTGATGTTGCGTTTTTTGTTGTTGCTTGATTTGCATCTCAACGACCGTTGCTATTACGAGCTTCCTTCAGCGTTTTTGATTCGTGACTTGCAAATACAGATCGTGATCAGGTTTTTTTTTCATTCATTCCTTTCTTCTAATTCGATACAATTTGCGATACCGAAATCTATTCAAAGTGTGTTTTTTCTTTCAAGAATCCATGAAACATTCAGCACATTTTATTCTCGTGTGAATGTTTGCCATTTGCACGACATGTGTGTGTGTGTGCTGTGCTCCGTGCAAACGAATGTGGCTAAGCGAATTGACAATGTTGAGAACTGCTTCGATTCGCTACAAAAAACCATTGCGCGCTTCCGTCACACCAGCAACAAATAAAAAACGCCGCTTTAATAAAACGTTTTTATTGTTTTCCGCAACTCACTCGAAACCATTTTGTAATTTTATTTTTACAAAATATGAAGAAAAATGGCAATTCACAGCATAAAGTTTATGCCATAAACCCAGCAAACACACTCACAACACAAGCTGCTTTGGGTCAGATAACATGGGCATAATTCATTTTTCATGCATTCGCCGCCGAAAAAAAACAGAATAAATAGTATGCGTGATAGCAAAAGTTTTGCCACAGCCCGAACCGAAAAAAAATAACGCTCAAAATTAATCAGATAGTTGAGCAGACATTGGCGAAGAGTACCGAATATTTGTGGTACTGTATTTCCCGTTATAGTTTTTTGCCCGTCTGATTCTTTATTTTGGCTGGTTGTGTCGCGAATATAATGTTAATCAGCGATATGGCTGTGACATTATTTATTCATGTTTGCTACGACCACAAAACCACATTCAAGCGCGCTCTCTCTCTCTATCGCTCGGTTTGTGCAAGCAAGCACGAATTTGCAACAGTTTTGCTGTGTTGCTGCTTGTGTGCGTGCCCGTATCATCTTTTTATGACTTTATTCCATGAATTTGAACAGAACCGAGACAGAGATATGAATTGCACCGGTTGGAATTGTTGAATTTTGCAAAAGCCGCAGTAATAAATTCGACACAAAACATGATAATTGCCGGGAATTGTTGACGGTGAAAAGAGACGAGGGAGATGGTGAGCCATTTTATTCACTTCAATTGATAGTTGACGTGACAATTTAAACCAATTTTGTGGGAAATATTTATGTAGTTTCAACATAGAAACAGACACAAATTGATTTCAAATTAGCCACACAGTTTTTCAGACACAATGTTAATGTGTTCCACCACTGTTTCTCTCCTTCTCCACCTCTCTCTTGTTCTCTCTTTCTCTGAGGGAGAGCTCTGGAGGGAAAGCCAAATCGATCAATAATAAAGTCAATTAAATCACTGATAAATACAAATTTTCCGATTTTAATACGATTTTGGTTTCGATTGTGATTTGTGGTTGCTTCAACATGAAATGAAAGAAGACAAACGCGGAAATGATTGATGAGCTAACAGTATACTGTATATATACAACGAATGAGCAAACGAGCGAACATACGATGAATGTTTTAATGCTAGAAATTGAATTTAGTTGCACAGATGGAAGTAAATTTCATTGAATGTATAATAAACTACACATATCTTATTCAGCCGAAAGTAGTGGAAATGAAATTCGCCCGAAGCGGCATGAGCATAAGTTTGGATTGACAACTTGACATTCATTCTGAATCGATATGTTCTTCATCAAGGTTTCGAATTTATCCGTGCAATTTTTTTTCTGCCATTGAAACGTCTCGTTCGAGCTGTTCGAGAAAATGAGATGATCAGAAAAGTCTCGATTATCTATTGTTCGCCTCTTTCTTCTTCCTCTCTGTTTCCGAAATATCGGATACGTTTTGGTCGGTCGTGACTGCGAGGCAAACACAATCTATGACCAAAAACATTGTTTATTTACGTGATTACGAGCAATTTTTGTGAAGGTCCAAACGCTCCGTTGTACAAATGCTATTTGCTTAAGCTATAATCAATCAAATTGTGTGTCATTTAATTATTAACAAATTCGCACCGCATTGATGTAGGCTCGATTTCACTCTAGTTCGGCATTTATTTGCTTTATTGCATGGATCGGTAAACTGGATTTTCGTATCGGGGTTTTTGTTCAATTGTGTCACGTTTTGACAGCTGAATTGCAAATGTGTTAATTTCAAAATGAATTTTAACCAATTTTATATTACATATTTTATGTGCAATTGTTTATTTATATAGTACATGTTGTCAACTAACGAACGTACGAACGAAACGTTAATTTGTTGTGTTTGTTTTGTGTCAATTTCAGATGGACGCGTCGAATTTCGATTGAGTGGAGCGAAGGTTTTATATCGCATACATGTAAAAAGGAGGCGACAGCCATCAATTAGTCATGTTGCTGCAATCGGGTCAACATATGGGCGTCGATCATGTATATCACATAAGCGATATGTCGAAAATGCCGCCACCACCACCGACAATTCTCGCATCGGACGAAGTGACGCGCTATTTGGATTTAATTCAAGATACGCTCAAAGACGGTTGGACCGTGCACGCGACTAAAGAAGGTCGTCTCTACTACTGCAAGTAAGTGTCTGCGCATCAATTGCATCTTAATTTTACTTTGTTGTTCTCGGCTGTATTTTTTCGATGTTTTTGCCTCAGCATATGCTGAAATATTCCTTGGCATTTTAGTGTGCGTTGCCAAGAAATTCATTCATAAAACCGAGAAATTAATTTTATGACACAAATTCGTAATGTAAACCACATTTTATGTCGAGGGGAAAAGAATTTGCGCCTGCAGGAAGTTTAAGGAAATTGCGTTTTCTCTCTTCTGAACATATTCGTTCACATTCGAGGCTAGACGAGCGACAGTAATTCAATCAAAGCATGGCATTGAAATGTGATTTCCCATAAAATGGTTATTAAAATGTCTTGAGATGCAACGTACTAATTCGACAGTTTGAACGATGGCAGCGCGGGAAATTTCTTTGAATACCACACATGTTTTTTTCTCGTCTTCAATATCCCGTTGCGCCAATCAATTTTGTTCAATTCTTTTACAGCCATTTTGCCTTTCAACAAATCGAATATTTGCTTCATTTCTTTTTTTCGTACACTCTCAATTTTGGACACTTTCAATTTTTGTGGCATATTCAATGGCATTTTTGTTGGCGCTTTCAGAAAACTTTCTGACAGTATCTGGAAGCAAAACTCTTTGTGGCTTTCTTTGTTTGCAATCTGATGCACTCAAGCATGAAACATGAAACATGAAATATTTGCATTCAAATTTTTCGACAGCCAGAAATCCATGGAGAAATTGACATTTCGGGAATGCTACATCCAAAGGCTGTTTTTTCCCTCTCTTCGTACAAGATGTTTCTTTCAAAGTTGCATCGGTTTCTTTTGCATCACATTGAAATTGTTGTCGATCCTTCGATTCGAATTCGACGAAGTTAGTTGCGAAAAGTTACCGAATTAAAGAGATTGAAAGAGCACTGTAGTACACACAGCTTAAATTCAATTGGGAATTCGGATTTATGATTTATGCATCACATCCGCAGAAAGATTTTGTTGGATTTTGTTGTTATACTCTCTCCCATTCTTTCAATACGAAATTCGGTGTTATATGTCTTGGTTGCTGGCGAATTTGCACAAAAATCAAACATTGCTTAAATTCGGAGAAGATAGAGCTCGATTCGCCTGATTTTGTCCAACAATATTATTATTCGTGCACATTTATTTTGGGTTTGTTTATTTATCTGCCAACCCGATGTACAAAATGTTATCAAATCAAAAGCACCGTAGGCACCATGGGCATATTTTAAGTTGTGTGCTTACAAAAATCGCACAGCTCAGTCCATTGAAACTAATTCATCGCACATGTTGACTCCGATATATATTCCGTACTACCCATACAAACTTAACTATGTGACCTTTGAATTGAGAAAATAAACAAAAACCAATCCGTAGCTGATGCTCTCGACGCCAGTCTCGCGATGCGATGCGCGATGAACAACACAATGAAAAACACTCGAATCTTTCGTGTTTCTATTTACCTTCTCCGAAAAGAGTCTGCTGGGAATTCGATTCAGTTCATGGATTTCGTGACGCTTTTTCTGTGTGCACAATACAAGACATCGGAAAATTACCTCCAATCTGTTCTAATAGTCTCTGTCTCCCTCTCTGGCTTGTTATCAAAGGTTAATCGCAAAGTTCTATGTGTATATTTTCCTTTTGCTTGACTGCCTTCTTTCTACAAATATATGAACGCCAAATACATGATACGGGAAATAGCAAACAACAACCTAGACACACACGCTCACACATACATCCACAAACTAGACCTGATCTCAAAAGTTCACAAAGCATTTATTTTCGAATAATTCATGCACATTTTAAAACAACCATGGACATGGTATTCTCAAAAAACTGCATAAGAGGTTTTTTGCTTTCTGTTCAGCTCGAGACTTTGTAAAGCACCGTCAACACTACGAACTTTATTTATTGCTACAAGTTCGCTCAATTTGATTCACTATTTTATTGACATAAGTCATTTTTCCTTGACGTTTTTCTCGTCAACAATTTATTCCATTCTGACAGCATTCCATTCAATTCCCTTGGCGTTGCTGGATCGTAAATCCAGCTGAAAATCATTTCACACAACAAAAACTTACGTTGCATCAGCGTTGAGGTTGATGTTATAGAACGACGATTTTACTGTGGCAACGGAGGCAAAAGAGTGTGCAACATGGTTGGGCTCAAAAGTTAAGCACAATAAAACATGCTGCAAGTGCCTTCCAGATGTAATGAAATCATGCAGGCAAAACATTTCAATCAATTCCGTGTATATATAACACAATCTACGTATATATATATTTGCAAAACTAGCGCTGAATTGGCTCAAACAATGAAATACACACGAGACAATGTAATCAAGTGTCTTTTATGCGAGCAATTTATTTTTAAAGAATGTTAAGTATTTGTGCGTTTCACATGAAAATTATAAAATGTCAAAAACATTCCGTTTTCTCTGTGCGCTCTCTTTCTGTCTCTCTTGTTCCTTTGCTCTTTTTCCCCATTCTAATTAATTCGAGCAATTGCATTTTTCGCCACATGAACTTCAATACTTAATTAAGTTTTAACATTTACAATGAAATCATTTCGTATCTTCAACTCTATCGTTCGCTCTCTTTTCACCACTCCATGCATTTGTTCCGTTTGTTTTCTCGGTGACATGCCATTTTATAGAATGAATTCCAGTAGCAAACGAATGCATACATAGGCGAAATGATATTGAAATTCCAAACTCATTTTCGATGGGATTTGTGTGCGTGTGTGTGAGCGTGAGCGCACAAAGAGGTTTCTGTCGCAAATGAGTACGGTGTCATGAATTTTCTATGCAAAATTTTCCACCGAAAAAACAGTTGACTCACATTTGACATTATTTCATTGTTCGTTATTCGTGGAAAATCTACGAAGCTTCAAATGAAATGTATGTTTGATTTTGATGCGCTCTTGACGCATCAGCAGACAAAACGATCCATTTGAGTTGGGCGGCAGTGTATGCGTCACATCAAAATTGAGATATGATAAAATGGATTCAGAAGCTGTGGTGAGCGACTTTGAATTCAGGCACTCTCTAGCTTATTCTAGCTTATTTCAAACGAATTTATAGTTTGTATGTAAGTTGTGTGGGTCTGCGAACGACACTCGTTATGTCTTGTCGAAAATACATTTTCATCAAAATGTGTCGTTACAAAAGCAATGAAGTTAAATAAAGCGTGCACGATTTTTCTTGTTGTTGATAGCTTTTCATCGACATCGGCGTCCAAATATTGTTGAAACCTGATACGGACACCAACAATACATTACACTCGATGCCATTCGATTTTGGGGTCAGTTCATATTTTTCAACTCGATTACAGCAATTGTTGCCGGACATCGGCGGGAAATTTACGGTATTTTTACGAGATGATACATCCGTTTCTCAATCTTCTGATTCTCGATTTACCGAGAAATCGTTCCGACGAGGCAGAAAAAAATTCATTTTCGCAAGAACGCCACACTAAAGTCATTTTGTTACGCATCGTGTATGTGACGAGATAACTCACAAAATATAACGGATGTGTTTATCAAAACCGACTCGATTACAATGACGACAATAGCGGCAAATTTATTATACTTTTTTTTGCTTCTGATTCTCTCTTGCCAATTTTCGTAACGCCAGAAGGAAAATGGAGAAAATTCTTTTCAGTGAGGCAGAGGATGAGTCGGAGGAAGAGTGTTCATCGATTGGAAAATCGACTTTTATTTACACCGCACATTGAAAATGTTCAGCCAAAGTATTGTCGCCCATCATTCAAAATTCGACGTGTCGAGTGACATTCCAGTTCGGTGCGACAAAGGCAATGTTGAACGATACGAAAATATATATTGCTCCAGAGACGAAGCGGATAAAAGTGACGAGTTGGTATTCAACGAAAACTGACCAAAGGAAATGGAAACAAAAATCATCCATTTCCCCGAGGGACTGAAATCAAATATACTGTCGTGAGACATTGTTTCGGTTCGTTAGAAAGATATGTGCAATTTTCCTCATTCTTTCATAATACGGATGAAACGGATAAGTTTTGTTGTTCACAGTTGAACAGAGGAGATCGATGAAGCTCTATGGTCGTAGGAGAGGGTATGTGTGTGCGAGCGTCAAACGTACTGAATCAACTGTGACAGTCTCTCAGTTGCACAATCGATAAGAACAAAGCGAACTCCAAATGAACTGAGCAAAAAAGAGCAAACAATTTGAAAGCACAAACCACAAACCACAGAAAAAAAAACTTTTATTTCTCTTTGGATTACTTTGTTTCGTGACTGGCAAGACGAACGGATTATTTCACATTTTAATGTTGAACCAAAAAAAATACGCATTTTTTGTGAAATCCTGAATCGACGAACAATGATGAAGAACGACATTGCTTGAAAGCACAAGCCAAAGAGTCATTCAAGTGTATTGGAACGTTTACAAACGCACTCTTTCAGCCACGAACACAACCATTCACTTGGCGACGAGAACTTGGAATAAATGTTGAAAATCGGAATGCGGAATAATAGGGAGAAAAAAAATGCCTTTCATGGTGAAAATGATGAAAATATTTATAACTTTGCTTCGTTTTAAAAATAGATGCTTCAAGTTAATGCGACTCAAAACCAACAAACCAAACCTAGAATGTCGTTCAAAACTTTGCGCTTATGAAGCCTTCCATTTTGATTTGGGTTCTTTAAAAATATTCTTCGTTCAATATCGTGCTTATTGTTTTTCGAAGGAACTTAATCATCTTAAATGGTTCGCTTCAATGAGCCCGATGCAACGAGCGGAAACGTAAGTGCGAAGTGCGAAATAATTTAAAATAGGCACGTTAGGTTGATGAACATCGTGAATATTAGTATTCATAGAGAGTTATTGCGAAATTTTAAAAGCGAATTCAATTCGTGTTCCTTTTTGTAAGTGCATAAGCGGGATGCATAAAGGGTGAGTGACCTCACATCAACAAAGAAGGGAAATTCAATTTGCTCGGGAAAAACAGCTT